GGGCGGTGACCACTGCAGCCGTGGGAATGAGCGAGACCACCCAGGGATAATGTGTGTGCGATGTTAGTAGAATGAGGGCAAAAGATGGTCCGGGATGGAACCTTTGAGACAGGCCAAGATTTAAGGCGAGTGAGAAAGAAGAGTTCTCAAGGCAGTGAAGCCAGAGGGCAGTGTTTCAAGAAGGGACTGGTCGTCAGTGTCCAGAGAGATGGCAATTGAAAAGTGCTCGCTGAGAGGTAAAATCATTAGTGTTCTGTAATATGACTGTTTAAGAAACCCAAGGGAATCAATCATCTGGAAAACACTTCTAATGAATACCAGTTCAGTTAGGTAACCAGTTTCTTTTTTTTAAGATTTATTTATTTATTTATTTGAGAGAGAGAGACCTCGCACAGAGAGAGAGGGAGAAGCAGACTCCCTGCCGAGCAGGGAGCCCAATGCAGGACTCGATCCCAGGACCCTGGGATCATGACCTGAGCTGAAGGCAGACGCTTAACCGACTGAGCCACCCAGGCATCCCTAGGTAGCCAGTTTCAAAAGAGACATGAAGAAAACCATGGACTTCTTATCAACCGACAATAACTAACTAGAAAACATAATGGAACAGAAGACCTCATTCACAGTAAAAACCCCTTACTCTATCCTGCCCACAGACCCGATGTGATCTGTCCCCGGCTACCTCGCTTGCTTCATCTCTTACTGTTCTTGGTCCACCCCCTTTTTTAAGTAGACTCCACGCCCAGCATGGAGCCCAGTGAGGGGCTTGAACTCATGACCCTGAGATCAAGAGTCAGATGCTTAACTGACTGAGCCACCCAGGCACCCCTGTTCTTATTTTTAATAAGGTGAAATTCACGCAACATAAAATGAACTATTTTAAAGTGAACAATTCAGTGGCATTTAATACATTCACAATGTGGTGCAACCATCACCTCTGCCTCGTTCCAAACATTCTCATTTCCCCAAAAGGAAACACTGAACACTAACTCCCCACCCCCTTCTCCCCTCTTTCCCCGGTAACCACTATTCTATTTTCTTTCTTTATGACTCTATTCTAGGCACCTCCTGTAAGTGGAATCATACAGTATTTATCCTTTTGTGTCTGGTTTCTTTCACTTGAACGGTGTTTTCAAGGTTCATCCCCAGGGCAGCATGCACCAGAATTGTCTACCTTTTAGAGCCTGAGTAATATTCCATTGTCTGGATTGCCCACATTTTGTTTAGCCAGTCATCAGTTGATGGCCACTAGGTTGTTTTCACCTTTTTTTTTTTTTTTAAAGATTTTATTTATTTATTTGACAGAGAGATACACAGCTAGAGAGGGAACACAAGCAGGGGGAGTGGGAGAGGGAGAAGCAGGCTTCCCGCGGAGCAGGGAGCCCGATGCGGGGCTCGATCCCAGGACCCTGAGATCATGACCTGAGCCGAAGGCAGACGCTTAACCGACTGAGCCACCCAGGCGCCCCAGGTTGTTTTCACCTTTTGGCAATTGTGAATAATTCTCCCTTCCTGCACTAGCTCCCAGCTCTCTTGCCTTCTTCCTATTGCAGATCTCCTCAAGCTCGCTTCTGCCTCTGGACCATTACTTTTGTTATTCCACTGGAATGCTCTTCTCCTAGATTCTCCCATGGCTGTCTTATGCAGCTTAAAGGTCACATTGTCGGGAAGCCTTCACAGTCACTTTTTATCCCCATTATCGGAAGGAGTAAGAAGTAGTGTCCAGACCAGGAATTGTTTTTTAAATAATTTTCTAAAAAAAGATTTTTATTTATTTGAGAGAGAGCATGAGCAGGGGGAGGGGCAAAGGGAGAGGGAGAAGCAGACGCCCCGCTGAGCAGGGAGCCCGATGTGGGGCTCAATCCCAGGACCCTGAGATCATGACCTGAGCCGAAGGCAGACGCTTAACTGACTGAGCCACCCAGGCACCCCACACCAGGAACTGTTTTGTGCCTTTGGCCTCCTTAGCAATCCAGTGAGGCCTATGGACTCATACTTCAAATAATGGTTTTAAATGCCTAAAATATGCCCATTATACTAAAAATACAGTTCTCAAAATATTTTCAAATTGTGGTTTAGTGATCTATGTCCTTCTTTATTAGTTCCTGAGGTAATATCTATATGCAGCTGTAATAACTATCATAATTTAGAAGGTATGTAAGTATAAATGCTATTTTGAGATATTTGCAACAACTGTAATAGGAAGCAGAAATATCAGTGATTTCTATTGACTGTGAAATCACAGGTACTGCTAAAATTACTGTAGATTGTTACCTACATTTGTACCTGAAGAAACTGCTAAGCTTCAGTGAGAGCTCAGTGAAAACGAGGTGGTGTTTTCCTATCCAAGTTCATGGATCCTGTGAATCCTTGGAAGTCTGTGGACCCCAGGTTAAGAGCACCTGCCCCAGGGGCGCCTGGGTGGCTCAGTCAGTTAAGCGTCTGCCTTCAGCTCAGGTCATGATCCCAGGAGTCCTACATTTGGCTCCCTGCTCAGCAGGGACCTTGCTTCTCCCTCTGCCTGCCGCTCCTCCTGCTTACGCTCTCGCTCTCTCGCTCTCTCTCTGACAAATAAATAAATAAATCTTTAAAAAAAAAAAAAAAGAGCACCTGCCCTAAAATGTGAAAGACAAACAGTAGTGATGAGGAGGGGTGGATTATGTTGGGACTGGGTTTTTTTAAAAGACTATTTATTTTAGAGAGAGAGGGGAGGGAAGATCGCGCGGTTGCGTGCGTGCACATGAGCAGGGGGAGCAGAGGGAGAGAATCTCAAGCAGACTCCCTGCTGAGTGCGGAGCCTGTCGCGGGTCTCGAGCTCACGACCCCGAGGTCATGACCTGAGCCAAAATCAAGGGTCAGACGCTCAACCGACTGAGCCCCCCAGGTGCGCCTTAGAGCTGGGTTTTTGTAGCAGATGGAAGAGATTGTAGGAGGCCAGGGAATAATGAGTGAGAAGAAAGCTGCCTTCTCCACCCCTCCATGGAACTTGGGTGTGAGAGATGTAGAAATTTCCAGCTGAGAAGGTATCTGAGGGAAGCTCCATCTTTGAAGGGGAGTCAGGTATGACCTGGGAGAAAGAAACATTTGTGCAGAGACTGCCTGTGTGAATAAGGGATTCGGTTTATCATGGACTGAGGGCCAGTGAGCATAACAGAGTGGGGTGGAATCCTTACTAGATTCCAGATAACCACGCTGGACACTGAGGATACACAGATGAGTAAGACAAAGATGAATCACCCATTATGATTAGTCTAGACCAAATGCTGTCGGTTGATTGGCTGGTTTGGCTGGTCTGATCCAGGGACCCCCTAAGGGCCTGAGGCAGCTGCAGAAAGATAGACCCAGGGTATCACCAGAGATGAGGGGGAGGGAGGGTGAGAAAAAACTCAAAAAGCACTCTTTTCTCCTTTGGTTCCTTTTACAGAACAAAAAAATGAAGTAACAAAAAAAAGTTATGTAATGGAGAAAGAAAAAAAAAAAGAAGCAGTGCCATGATTCGATAATTCAAATGAGCCAATCATCCAAAAATTAATTAGAGGAGTCAAAGGGACGCATCCCCCACCCTTGCTCCTAATTCTTCAGGAACCTTCGAAGGATCTCTGCAACCAAGAGATTCTTGGATGCTGTTACCCTTCAGAATGATGTTTGGCTCAGAGGGATCAAAGGAAGAAGAAAAAAAAAAAAAAGGATTTTATTTTTAGAATTTTCTCTGGGGCTCTAGAGATAACTTGCACCTGGATCTCTCGTCTGTATGTAGCGCTCAGAATCTAGGATTTGTCGATTCTTTTTTTTTTTTTTTTAAAGCTATTTTCCCTTCTCTACCAGGGGGATCTTTCGGAAAGGCTCAGGTTGAGGGCTGCTGCAGGTGAGAAGCCCTGGCCCGGTTCCCGCTCCCTTCGGTCTTGTTTCTAGCTGGCGATGCTGTAGCTACAAGCTCACTGCTTGGGTTACAAACCTCTTCTGGCTTCAAGGGAGGAAGCCTTGGACGGCGAGGCGGCAGACAGATGGGGGCATGAGACCAGAGGCAGGGCTGAAGCCACGCCGACCTAGTTAGAGCAGAAGGAGGCTGCAGGGCTGGCAGGAAAGGCCCAGGAGAGAAGAGAGAAGCTTCCCGGGACGGGGAGGAGCAGAAGACTGGCTCTGGTTTAAGACGCCCTGGCAAGACTTGGGGTCGTGAAGGGGACTTGTGTGGAGACTCAGTGAGCTGGGGGTGTGTGTGTGTACGTGTGTGTGTGGGGGGGGGGGCAATCTTTACCAAATGTTGTCCACATGCTTAGATTTTAAAGTCACACTCTTGGAGGAAATGAGAACCAGAAAAATATGGACCTTAGGAGAGCCATGTGGGCAGTGCCGGAGACCCAGCAAGACTGAGCAGAACCCAGAGCATCGTGACGAGATTCCCCCGCAGTGGGTCAAGGACAGGTCCCGGCCACCACCACCGGGTACCCAGCTCCCACACTAGGCACGGGGGGGGGGGGGGCGGGGGGGGGAGACACAGGGAGCACAGATGCCAGTGGTCTCCACACTGCATCGGGGCCCCATGCGGGAGAGAGAAGAGCCCTTCGTGGCCCCTGCCCCTCAGAGGGACGCAGTCTGTTTGAGGGAACGGTAATCCTTGTGAAGGGAGAGTAAGCGATCCCATAGCATAATTGCTTTTGTTTATGCTCCGGGGTCACAGAAGGGATTTCTGGCAGAACAGGGGAAGGCTGTGTGGAAGACGAGGTGGACAGTCTATGGCCCTGAGGTGTGGGAGGGCAGGAGTGGGATGAGAAGAGAGATGCGGGCATTCCAAAGGAAAGGTATGCCCAGAGGCAGAAGTTCGGCTCCCGCGCCGACCAAGTTGGTGGCCGGCCCGGCCCGTCGAGGGGAGATGGAGGGAATGCAGCTGGACGGGAAGAGTCAGATGACCCAGGGCATTTCAAACTTCGAGAAGGGACTGTACCGAAAGCCCGGGTTTGGAAGCGGTCGGGCCATGTCCCTGCTCTCCCCCGACCCCTCCCCAGCTACAAGCCCATCGTGGAGTTCATTGACGCCCAGTTCGAGGCCTACCTGCAGGAAGAGCTGAAGATCCGCAGGGTCCTGCACACCTACCACGACTCCCGAATCCACGCCTGCTTGTACTTCATCGCCCCCACGGGCCATTCCCTGAAGTCTCTGGACCTCGTGACGATGAAGAAGCTGGACAGTAAGGTACAGAGGCAGGCATGAGGGCGGGCGGGAGGCAGGGCACACCGGAATCACCCTTACTGGTCTCTCAGGCCAGGCAGGTGCCAAATTCCAGGAGACGCTCTATGGCCTCCTCATCCTCTCCTTCATCCCCTGTCCCTCCAGAGAGATGGTGTTATTGATCCAGCAGCTGCGTTGTATGCTTTGTGATCTGTTTTCCCAGCGCTGGGCGTGGGTCTACCCTGAGCCGTCTCTCTGCCCTGATCCCTCCGGGCCTAGGGGCTCAGCCGTTGGCAATGGAAAGTTATTATTTTTATTATCAATAATAATTTTAGGCACAGCAGCTAACATTTGTTAAATCCTCATTATATGCCACTATTATGCAAGCACCCTCTGGAGTATCTCCTTGAATTCTCACAACCCGATAAGGCAAACAGCATCATTATCCCCCACTTATGGAAGTGGACACCGAGGCCCTAAGAGGGTAAGGGACTTGCGTGTTGTCATGTAGCTAGTTCCTGGCAGAGTCTAGATTCGAACTCAGATCCCGGGCACCACGTTCTGTGGCCTCCATTCCTGAGAAAGATGGCTGTGGGAATCAGTCGTGTCCTGCTCTAAAAGGAACTGAAAAATGTAAGTCCCACACCAGATAGAAATCAGACAAGGATTCTTCCTGTGAAGGGAGTATTTTCTGTACAAAAAAGTTGATGCAGGATTCCTTAAAAAGCCTAATACATTTCCCCCTAACATTTCCTATGTGCCTAGCACTGGGATGAGTACTTTATAGGCATTATTTTATTTCATCCTTCCAAGAATCTAGTGTGGTGGATGCTATTATTCCCACTCCCTCATGAGAAAACTGAGGTACAGAGAGTCAAAGAGCTTGCTCCAGGTCAGACAACTTGTAAGGGGTCTGGGATTTGGACCTGGCTCTCTCTGACTCCAAGGTATTTTATTTTATGAAAGTCTAATTTATATGCATTATTTAGTAGGCTCTCTGTGACAAAAAAAAAAAACCGACACTCAGCTCAAATCAAAATAGGAGCAATTTTTTTCATTTTTTTTTTGCAGCAATGAGCTCACCCCCCCCACCCCCCCCCCACCGTGAGTACCCGGCTGCTCTGGAAATGTCGCTCTGCCCTGCATGTCCTGTATGGGGCAGCAGAGAGCCATGCGGCGGTGGCCCGCTGGGTGGGTTGGGTTAAGTGAAGCCGCCTTTGGCATATGCTTGTCTTGTGTCCATGGGGACACAGGGAAAAGTGACAAGGAGAATTAGCTCTCTCTACTCTTCCACCTTGGCAAAGGCTTTGACCCTCCCCCCTCCCGCGAAGACTTCAAGGAAGGTACCTGCAGGGTCCAGTGTTCCTTTGCCCCGGCGCGTGAAACTGGAGGCCACCTTCACAGGTACTCCCCAGGCAAAGCGTAGAGCAGGCCGACTTCGGCCTCCAAGTGCAGAGCTCCTTCCGGGGCCCAAGCACTAAGGATGCTGCCCCACAGGAGCCTGCTGGCAGCAATACCTCTGCCCCCCATGTGAGCCTGAGCTTACGTGTGCCCTGCCCCACAGGCATGTGCGTGTCGCAATTCTTCACCTGCCCGCTGCAGAAGCCCTGTCTCTCCTTGAAGTCCTTTCAAGGAGCAGGGTTCAGGGGGATTGAACTTCGGGGTGGCGTTAGGCCTTTGTCCTGCTGTCGGAAATTGGGCATATGTACCTGCTTGCTTTGTGCAGAAAGTAATCGCGAAACTCAGGTAGCGTCACTCCTTTTTGCATGAAGTCTCGGATCACGCTGGTAACCGCGAGGGTCTTTTTCATCCAGCTGGGTTGGTTCATAAGTTTGCTGCCAGAAAGGGGGCCAGGTGAGCGCCTTCCCTGAGCTCTGCCCTGCCTCCCCTCCCTGCCATGGCCCGTGGGGCTGGGTCTCTAACACACTGGGGCGAGCCTGCACCGGATAGGTTGGGACAATTTACTGTTAACAAGGAGTGGCCGCCTCCCCGCCTTGTCAACCACAGATTCCCAACTGTCCTTTTTCTGCTTGGAATCACCCAAGCAGTGATCTCAATATGAAGATATCACACAGCTCATCAGTTTGGAGCTGAGCTGGTTAAGACTCTGGATTTAGGAAGAAGGCTAAACTTAGATCTGGATCCCAGTTCTGCTACTTACCTGCTCTGTGGCCTTGGACAAATTACTTAGCCTCTCTGTGCACTAATTTCTCATTGGTAAACTGAGAGAGGTGTTGTCAGGATTAATTGTGTTAATCCACGTAAAGCACTTAGTCCAGTACCCAGAGCTTAGTAAGCGGCACCCACTGTCATTTATTATATTGTGATTTGGCTACAGAGGTGGCCAGTCCCGGGCCGTTGGGTTGAGCTGGTGGAAGCCCTCTGCCATGCTGCTATCGGTTGCAGATTACCAACAATGATCCCGCTTTTCTCCTCCCTTCCCCAGGTGAACATCATCCCCATCATCGCCAAATCAGATGCCATTTCGAAGAGTGAGCTAACAAAGTTCAAAATCAAAATCACCAGCGAACTTGTCAGCAATGGGGTCCAGATCTACCAATTCCCTACAGATGACGAGTCAGTGGCAGAGATCAATGGAACCATGAACGTGAGTGGGGGCACAGGGGTTCAACTTTCTGACGATTTACTGTTTCTTTTTATTATTTTTCTTTTTTTTTTTAAGATTTTATTTATTTATTTTTTGCGAGCGAGAGAGCACGAGTAGGAAGGAACGGCAGGCAGAGGGAGAAGGAGAAGCAGGCTCCCCACCGAGCAGGGAGCCCGATGTGGGGCTCGATCCCAGGACCCTGGGACCATGACCTGAGCTGAAGGCAGACGCTTAACCGACTGAGCCACCCAGGCGCCCCTATTTTTATTATTATTATTTTACAAACTAGTCGTCAAACATCACCATCCATTTTAGTGCGGTCATCTCTCCATCATCTGAATTTCGGGTGTTTGTGAGAAAGAATCCAGAACCCAAACAGCTCCTTTCCCCTAGTATTGGTTGCCTCAAAGTCTCAGAGAGGCAGAGATTAATAGCCAGAGACTGAGGGAGGGAGAGGCTGACCTCAGGAAGAGTCTGGAGCCGGGGATTCGGACCTCTCCTTCCACCCTCCTCTTGGATGCGGCTTCGGTCTAAGCCAGGCCCCCTGGGCCTGCCAGAAAGGCAAACAGTCTTCTTCTCTGACCAAAACAATGCCATGACAACCACAGCAGAAAAAGTTGGCTGGCTTCTGGGACTCCAGGATAATATGTACTCAGATCATCGAGCCCTCTACCCCCGGGGGGAAAAATGACATATAGCCTCTGATTTTTCTGGTGACTAGAGAAATGTTATTTTTCAGTTTCAGGGTGATGCTTTGCTTTATTGAGTGTGAATGAATGAAAAAAAAAAAAACCACCCCAACTTGCCATCTTTCCTCTCCTCTCCCACTCCCCCCTCCCCCAACTAGAAGAATGAGTAATGAGCAAGGCGGGGAGTCAAGCATCTCATGCTTCTTTACAACGTGTTGATGCTGTTGCTGCGAAATCTTCAATGTTGTGATTTCAAGGAGACAGCTAATAGCTTTTGGAAAGCCTCTGCTTTGAGAACAGATTTTTTTTTTTTCTCTCTTTTGAGAGGCATCAGTTTTTCCTAATGACATAATGCCCGGGTATAACCAAACTCAGGAAAGCCTGGTAATAAAAGCCATTTTTAGAAAACTTCCCAGCTGCTGCCACCCCTGAGTTATCATTATGGTATCAGCCCCTACCTCCTAGAATCTGGCCAACAAATTAGCATGGAGGGGCTGCAAGTCATTGTCTCCGTCTGCCTTGCCCCCCATCGGTACGCCCGAGATGTGTTCGTTATTAGAAGTCCCTCATCATCTTTGACCAGTCTGGCCTAAGAGTAAGGCTATGTGGCTTGGGGTGGGTGGAGTCCTATCCTCTCTGACCCATCGTGAGTGTGAAAAAAGGGGGAACAGAAAGATGAGCCCTTATCCTCTCAAGCAGTCAGGGCATTTTGATGGAAACCAGACTCTGCCATGATGAGAAAACCTGAAAGGGTGCCTAGCCTGCAGACAAATGGGAACCTTGGGGCACCTGGGTGGCTCAGTTGGTTAGGCGTCTGCCTTCAGCTCGGGTCATGATCCCAGAGTCTGGGGATTGAGTCCCGCATCGGGCTCCCTGCTCAGTGGGGAGTCGGCTTCTCCCTCTGACTCTACCCCCTTTCGTGCTTTCTCTTTCTCTCTCTCACTCACTCTCTCTCAAATAAATAAAGTCCTTTAAAAAAAAAAAAAAGGGAACCTAGAGAGAAGTGTCATGTGGTGTCCCTGGCATGATGTCTGGAAGCGCTTAGTCACCTCAGAGCACTGGGCCCCGTAGATACCTTCAAACTTGGGTTCCCTACGTCACCAGGTAGCTTTTGGGCTTGTGGTTTGCTTTGCTAAGAATAAAAAGGGGAAAGAGTTCTCAGCCGTCTCGAGGTGTCATCCAAAAACGATAGCTCATTACACTGAATCGGGAGTGACAGTTTTTTGGGCTCTGCTCTCAGCTCAGCTGTGCCCTCCTGCTTGAACCTAAGGTAGGCTCAGCCTCTGGGCTGGAAACTTCTCGTGCTGTGAAGCAGAGGTTCTCAGTCACGCTATTTTGGCTGGGAGGAGGTTCTGGGTAATTTCTTCCAACCGTCCAAAGTGTGCTGGCGTTTCACTTTGAAAAACTAAATTTGAGTGGATTTAGGGTTATCCCTGAATTGAGTGGATTTAGGGTTATCCCTATAATAACATCTCTCAACATTCCCTGACGATCCACTGTGTTTTTCTGAGTGGGGAAGAGTGTGCCTGGCATTGGGCGTCCCCATGGGAGGGGGGCATGCATGTGAACGCCACGTGTTACCTCTTGTGATGGGCAGCGGGACTTGCTTAGCCCGTCTGCCACCCGAACAACTGTGTCAAAGTCCCCAGGGTCTTCAGACCTGTTGTGGTGTATGTAGCTGCGTCATCAGAAACCCAGGCTTGGGTGGTAGGAGGAATGGGTGCTGGCCTTTCAATTCTGGCTTTGACTCCAGCCCCACAGCCTCTGCCACCCCAGCCAATTGTCATGTGGACCGGATTGGAAGAAGTGAAAGAAGTGTCTTGCCTAAGTGGAGAAGAGCATCTAGCCATCCCACCGCCCCCTACTAGGGATTTTCATGGCGGGGAAATAAGACTAATGAGGTCACAGCCTCCCCCTTGGCCTATGGGTGGGTCTGAAAAACGATATCAGATTGGGGGTCGGCAAGAGAAGGGAGTGAGCGGTCTTGTTGCATGCCTCTTCAACCCATGCTCTGGTAACTCTCAAGGTTGTAGACTTTAATTCTAAGATTGCTATGTTGGGAGGAAGCCACTCCCGATCGGGTTATTATCAGACAAGGAATCAACGGTGCTGACCGTCTCTATTTCACCAGGCTGAGGAGAACGGTCATCCAGCCTCCCAACTATAATGGATGTTCTGGAACTGAAATAGACTAATTCACGCCAGCTGGATCATCCAATACTTTAAAATATACTGAGGGAATTTTTAAAAGATTTTTTATTTATTTTATTGTATCTTTTTTTGTTTTTAAGATTTTTTTAAAATTTTTTATTTATTTGCGAGAGAGAGAATGAGAGACAGAGAGCATGAGAGGGAGGAGGGTCAGAGGGAGAAGCAGACTCCCTGCTGAGCAGGGAGCCTGATGTGGGACTCGATCCCGGGACTCCAGGATCATGACCTGAGCCGAAGGCAGTCGCTTAACCAACTGAGCCACCCAGGCGCCCTGTTTTTAAGATTTTTATTTAATTATTTGACAGAGAGAGACACAGCGAGAGGGAACACAAGCAGGGGGAGCGGGAGAGGGAGAAGCAGGCTTCCCGCTGAGCAGGGAGCCCGATGTGGGGCTCGATCCCAGGACCCTGGGACCGTGACCTGAGCCGAAGGCAGACGCTTAACGACTGAGCCACCCAGGCGCCCCAAGATTTTATCTATTTAAAAAGAAGATTTTAGAGCACAAGCGGGCAGAGTAGCAGGGCAGAGGGAGAGGGAGAAGCAGACTCTCCGCTGAGCAGGGAGCTGGACGTGGGGCCCGATTCCGGGACCCTGAGATCATGACCTGAGCCGAAGGCAGCCGCTTAACCGACTGAGCCACCCAGGTGCCCCTATACTGAGAGGAATTTAAGGTCGATACGAGAGGAAAGGTAGTGAATCTGAGAACAGACTCCCAAGAGGAGGCTTGAGAGTGTCTCTTGGAGTTTTCGGAGACTGGACATCTGACGTCGGGGGGCACATCCGCCCGTGTTTCAGGGCAGCGCTGTCCTGCCACCATCAGAGTCTCCTCCCTGGGCCCACACCTACAAAGTGTCACCCCCAGGAGTGTGGTTGCTTGGAGGGTGTACCATCTCCCTGCTCTGCTCGACTCTCTCCTGGTCGTCAAAGCTGCCCGTCTCTCCAGAGCAGTGGAACGAGGGCCAAAGTCCGGCCCCACGATATCCTGCCCAAAATGACTGTCACTCCCGATTCATTGTCATGAGCTGTCGTTTTTGGATGACACCTGGAGATGGCTTTTTGCCATTTAGCCACGAGGCAGAGCGCCGGCGGCTGCGGGTGGCTGGGAGGGCCCGGCAGCTAAAGCACGGTGGCCTTACTCTTCCCTGGCAAGATTTGGGCCCAGGAGTTAGGGACCTGGGCTAGTCGTTTCCCCCAGATCGCGAATGGGGTGAATGAGAACCGCCCCATAGGGCTGTCGTGAGAAGCCAACCAGAGCTGCTCGGCAGCACCCAGAAAAATTCCGCTCGCCGATGCTTATCTGAACAGACTTTGATGCCAGGTGCCAAGCGTGTGCCGGGAGGTGTCGGGAGCCCTGGCGGGCGCTGTGCCTTACCACGGGCAGGGACAGAATGACAGCGCGGTGAGGAAGAGGGGAGGCGAGTGACCCTGTCATCCTAACTAGCAGGGGCTTGTGGGGATAAATCTAACGGGCCCAAGGAAAGACAAAACGGGTTTGTTTTTTTTTAATGCCTTTATTCTCTTCTTGGGTTTTTTTCCTCCTTTCCTCTCGAGCCCAGAGAAGTCCCCGGTCACCTCACACGCCCTCCTCCATCACTTTCAGCTGAGAGCCGGGGATGCGCCAGAAGGTTCTCTTTCTCACCTCGTCCCTCGGTCTAGCCCTCTGCCGTCGCTGCCCTCTGGCTCTTTGGTGTCACGTGGCTGAAGTCTTGGGTCTCGGCAGGAGGGGCAGCATTTTCCCAGAAAGCGCTTAGGGCTGGATTTGAGGTTCCCCACGTGTCTTGGGGTCCTGAGTGGGAATGAACCGTGCCTGAGGGATGTCCCTCCGACAAAGCCGGCTGGCAGGGGTCAGGGAGGCTCTGGCCCTCGTGCCCCATGTGTCGCACGCCCACAGACCCTCACGTTCAGTCCCCTCCTAGGACCGATGCAACATTTCCGGCGGCCAGCCCGGCGCATCCTCCATATGCCCATAACCTCCTCTTTCCTGTGTCCTCGCTTCAGGCACAGTGAGTGGAGTGGGAAGGGGTGGAGGCGGTTGCTGAGGTGATGCTCTGAGAGCGGCCAACAGAGGGTGATGCGAGAGCCACCTCAGGGGGATGACCAAGCGCCTCGGGGGACTTGCGGGTGTCCTGGAGCTGAGCTCCCGATTAAGTCCTGTGGCTTTCCACTCTGAAGAACATTCTTGGGGGGCAGGTGCTAAAGAGAATGGGGAAGAAGGATTGGCTGTGACATCAGCGCGCAGATTAAGCAAACAAAAGACATTTGCTGTAGGTTTGCCAGAATCCAACTGCTTCTTATCATCTGGCCTTGTGCAAGCGGGTCGCCCCGGGGGTTTAGAGCGCTCACCCCATCGGCTGCTCGGACCCGCTGCGTGAGCGTGGCAGCCCGGTGGCGGGCTTTGAAGCCAGAGAGACCCGGGTTCCATCCCTAGCTCTGGCCCTCACTGCTGTGTGCCCGCTGGCAACTGGACCTCAGTTTCCTCGTCTATATAATGGGGATAAGAATACCTAACTCACTGTGCTGTTGGAAAGAGCCCGCGAGCCGCATAGGCTGCCACTGCAGCTCATGCCTGTTCCATAGCTACCCCGACTGTTGGCGCAGTAGCTGCCGCCTCCTCTGGGAAGCCTGCTTTGACTTTGTGGAGTGAGCTGCTCCCTCCTCTGTCCCTCCAGCTCTTGGACCTCTGTTTATAGTCAATATTATTATTATTTTTTTAAAGATTTTATTTATTTATTTGACAGAGAGAGACACAGCGAGAGAGGGAACACAAGCCTAGCACACAGTAGGGGCTCAGTAAATCCGCGAGCATGGATGAGTCAGCAAATGTATCTGTGACAGAGGCCTGTTTCTCCTGGCGGGCGAAGAAAGCTTGCTCCGGTGGACTTGCCCTTGTCTGGGGAAAGGCCTTTTGGGTAGAGCCCCACCCAGGATCACCTGGTTTGTAAACAGTATTTATTCACAGGTTCCACTTGGCCAGGGGTCACAGGGTGCTGGAAGCCTTTCCCAAGCTCCCCCACTACCAGCTGCAGGCAGTTGCCTTTTCTCTGACGCCCAAAACCTTCATCAGCCAGGCCTAGCCCCCCATGACCCTGCAAGCACCACGCTCATACCCCTGTTTGTACTTCGCCTTTCTTTCCTCTCTACTGTGTTCATGGCCCTGCTGCTGCCATTCAAGGAGTATTTATTAAGTACCTACTACGTGCAAGCCCCGGACCCTACATTTGAGCCCTTGGTCATGTTCTGTCTTACACGATTCCGCGTATGTAATTCCGGTGCTCCCAATAAGACTGTAAGCTCCTAGGGGGTGAGGGAGTGTGTGCCTTCTACCTCTTTTGTCTCCCTTATGGCACTTAAAACAACCCAGCACAGCTATGGGCATGTGGGAAAATACCTGTGGACTTGACTTCTAGGCTCAAGAGTTCCGCGTGGGCTCTTGCTTCAAGGGAAGGATGAGAACAAGGAGCGCAGAGCTCAGTCAGCAGTGTGGTTATAGTACATACCGGCTCCCGGGGCTCTCACACTTGGGGGAGGGGGCAGCGATCCTTTAGCCTCTCTACCCACACGTAGCCCCCCTCATCCCACTCACCCACCTTCCAAAGGCTTTCCGCCTCAGCACCTGTGTATTCTGAACAGCGCGCTCATCTGGGTATCTGCTCATTATTCGGCTTATTTTCCATCTTCGTCTGTTCTCTGTGTGTTTGGCCACGTCATTGAGAATTTCTGGACAGCAGAAACTTGGACTGGCCTCTCAGCCCCACACAGCTCAGAGCTTCAGAAATTCCTCTTGATGATGGCGACAGGGAGGGACACTACCGCAGTGTGATAGGCCCGAGGCCCTGGAGCCGGCGCCTTTCTCCCAGAGCTCTGCTCTGAGCCTCGGTTTGCCTTCTGTTCCAGGCGCACCTGCCGTTCGCTGTCATCGGCAGCACAGAGGAGCTGAAGATAGGCAACAAGATGATGAAGGCGCGGCAGTATCCTTGGGGCACGGTGCAGGGTGAGTGAGTCTCCAGGACACGGGGCCCCTCTCCCTGTCTCCAGCCGCTGTGTGACTAGGCCCTAACTTGTCCCCGGTCTGTACTCATTTGCCTTGGGCTTCCAGCAGCTTTGGCCCCACCCCTGGATTCTCTGCTGTGAGCAAGCTCTCTTTGTCTCCAATGGAGAAAGCATTCCTAAAACAAAAGCGAATGTTATTGGAGCCAGGTAAGAAGGAATGTTCAAGAAAGTATGTGTATTGGCCCCAGGTGCCCCAGGGCACCAGGAGATGTACAAGAATATAGCAGATGAGTAGCGGACAACCCAGATAACCATCAAAAATAGATTGGATGAATTGCAAAATGTTCATCTAATGGGATACTAGACGGTGGCGAAAATGAATGGATTATAGTTACTTGTACAGGAATGAATCTCAGAAACATAACATTGGGCTCAGTAAATCAAAGAATGCATGCTGTATGGGCGCCTGGGTGGCTCAGTTGGTTAAGCGACTGCCTTCGGCTCAGGTCATGATCCTGGAGTCTCAGGATCGAGTCCCGCATCGGGCTCCCTGCTCGGCGAGGAGCCTGTTTCTCCCTCTGATCCTCTTCCCTCTCATGCTCTCTGTCTCTCATTCTCTCTCTCTCAAATAAATAAATAAAATCTTTAAAAAAAAGGGGGGGGGAAAGAATGCATGCTGTATGATTCCGTTGATGTGAATTCCCAAAGGAGACAACACTGAACAAGATCTATCTTTTTAGGAATTCATACGTAAGTGGCGAAACCACAAAGTAAAAGGAAGAACGATAAAGCCCAAAGTCAGGATAGTGGTTAAGTCTCGTTTCGAGACCAGGTAGAGACACAAGGTACTGGTACTATTTCATAGGGTTGTAGATACATTGGTATTCAGTTTTTCTTCTTTATTTCTGTATATATATAATTATTACACAATTTCAAAACAGATGTATATACACTCAGGAAACTTCCTTTTGTGGTCTGCCTGACCCGTGGTAAGTTACCCGTGGAACTAGTCAGTTCTGTGGATAAGGCAAGGCCTGGGACGCTGCCATGGCAGACGAGGCGTCTGTCCTCCAAGTCTTCAGCTCTAAGCTGGGTCTTAGAGGGGCACCGTGTGCGAGAGGGCGGCTGATTCACTGTATGCTCATCGCTGCCATTGAGCAAACAACGGGAAGTGGGTGGGAAGTTGTCCACCTCACGTATAAGGCTGGCATGCCGGAGCCTCTCCAGTGATCGCTGGATTTTTCCATAGGTAGGACAAGACTGCTTATCGGAGCTGGGCTAGGTTTTGGTCTTCTCTGCCGTCTGGGGCCGAGATGCTCTGCTAGGGACGTTTTGTGAATGGTTCCTGGACCCATAGTCCTAACTGGGAATGAGTTTGTGGTTCCAGTGACTTCCTCCAATTTAGATCGTGCACACCTAACCAACAAAGGGTTTTTGAAGGTTTTTTGTATAAGTTGGAGTTCACTGTTCTGTTCGAGTGACCTTGGAGTCAGTCCTTCTGACCAGCCACCGGGGATCACTGTCCGGACTTGGAGGAAGAGCTGGTCCCGAGAAGTTGCCTGACTGATGTGATTTTTAATATTAGCTTATGTTCTATGGCAGCAAGGGGCTCTATTCCCAAGGCAATGGGTCTTTTTTCTTTTAATTTTTTAAAGTTTCACTTACTTGAGTAATCTCTACAACCATTGTACGGGGACTCAAACTCATGACCCCAAGATCAAGGGTTGCATACTCTTCCAGTGAGCCAGCCCGGTGCCCCAAAGCAATGGGTCTTAAGCAGAGGGGTTATGTGAGCCCATCTGAGCTTTGGAAAGGTTACTCTGATGGCCACGAGGCAGTCTGCTGCAACTGTGACCCACCCTGTCATCCCAGACCCCCTCCCTGCCCCCACTCCCCTCTCCCGGCCCTGGAAGACAGAACCTAGGGTGACTAGGCCAGTTCATCATCTCAGACACCACTGTCCCCACATGGTCAGGCCAGACACCCCCACCACAACCCAGGGGACCCATGCTTGGAGGCACACAGCCTTGTATTCCAACCGGAAGTCCACTTTGCTATGATTTGGTCTCTCTTTCTGTCCTTCTGGGCCACTGCCCCAAATGCAGACCTTTGCTGTACTCTTTTGACGGGGTGGGGGGGGGTTGTTCATTCAGGCCAGAAAGTGGGGTCCGCTTTGTCCTGGTCATCATTGCTGCTGCCAGGCCATTATCCATGCTCTAAAAAACACCTCCTTTGAAACTACGACCTGCCATCCAGGCGAGCCACACCTTGGTCCACAGCCCTCTCGGTCCCTGCCCTCTATAGATGTCCTAGTTCTTCCCTTTTATTCTTTGGAGACTTGGCATCTGCTCAGAGCCTTTGCCTCTCCTTTAGTCCGCCTGCACTTCAATCCCACCCGCAACTTGCTAGCCACGTAACCTTGCCTAACCTTACTGAGACCTTGCGTGGGCTCTTCCCTGATCTGCCTGATAAATTCTGATTCCTCCCTCAAGAGTCATCTTAAGGGTTGCCTCTCTGGTGAAGCCTTCACTCTGCTGGGGCACCTTCGGCCCCCCTCTTCTGGGCTTGCACCGCATGGACCTCCATTTTGGTCATTTTTGCATTGTATTATACTTGCCTGTTTGCCTCTCTGCTTCCACTCCGCTGTAAGATCCTTAGGGCAAGAGTCCATGACTTCGTTTCTGAATTCCCGGTGCCTCACGCCATGCTGGGAGCAGAGATGCCACGACTCTTTATTGGACAGACGGCTGAAGGCGCATTCGCCATGAGCCTAAGTGTGGTGCGGAGCAAATAAACATTCCCGGGAGGCTCTGACTGGCGCATTTGGGTTGAGGTGCTACTGAATGTCTTCTTAGATGTTTTTTTTATGGTCTTGCCGTTTTCCGTTACTGTGAGCCTTGTAAGTTTCTGCGTGCGTTTTCCGTGGAAAAGTGCATCAGGAGGCAAATTCACAGGCTCCAGATACACAGGTGGAAGGGCCATGTGGCCGTGAGGCATCCGGCCTCTCGATTCGTCCTTTCCCGCCGCTTCTGGCCTTCCTTTCAGTGCGCTTTCGATCCCCCCTCCCCTGCCGTGCAGTCGAGAACGAGGCCCACTGCGACTTCGTGAAGCTGCGGGAGATGCTGATCCGGGTGAACATGGAGGACCTCCGGGAGCAGACCCACAGCCGGCATTATGAGCTGTACCGCCGCTGCAAGCTGGAGGAGATGGGCTTCCAGGACACCGACCCCGACAGCAAGCCCTTCAGGTACCCCGTGCCCGTGGACGGCTTGCGCGGGCCAGCCCCGCCCCCGGGGAGGCGACACCCGGGTGCCGGGACCGAGGAGCGCAGAGCTGTCCCCTGCCCCTCGCACCTGGTGGCAGGGCGGGCTCGGTGAGCGACGGGCCAGGGGGGACGGCCAGAGGACCCCTGCCGCACACCCACAGCCCCCCCCCCCCCCCCACACACGTGCGCGCGCCGGCTGCCGTCAGCTGTGCCGGAGGGGACCCCGGAGCCGAGGCTTCGGCCCGCAGCCTGGCAGCCGTGCCTGTCCTCTGGCCCGCTGTCTTCTTCAGACCCCGGCTGCCCCTCCTTCCCCTTGTCAAGCCCAGATGACGGGACCGGGTAGCAGTCATTGCGCTCGGGCCGGGGACCTTCAGGCTCTTCAGGCGCTGTCCTGAGTGTCTGCATTCAGGGGCAAGTTTTGTTTCGACCGCGGGCTGTTAATAATCCTTGCCATACTTCCCAAATCAGAATCGGAGATGCTTTCAGACAAGAGGAATGTTGTCGAAAGCAGTTTACTATGCCGACAGGAGCCAGAGGCCAGGTATCATCGTCGATCTGTCTACGTGATGCGGGACATGAGCCCCACACTTGAAATCACCATGTGGCGTCCTTTATTACAGCTCAGTCCCCTCTCAGGAAGTGTCGGGCCTCACTGAGGAAGTGAGGGGGACGCTTGTGGGCCAAGAAGGCTGTCAGATGGCCCCTGAGATCCCGTAGTGTCTGTTCCCAGGACGAAGCTGGGCTCTGCGGGCACAGTGTGGCCAGTTTTGCAGGGAGGCCTCGTTCCAGAAGGGGGGACTCGCTCCCCTTTGGGGACAGGGGCTGCCAGAGCTCCTGGGGATAGGGGAAGTTGTACTTACCTCTCTGGTGGGCCCTCTCTCAGTTTACTCTCCTTCCCCTCCCACGGCTTTATTTGTTTTTTATTTTTATTTTTTAATCTTTTTTTTTTTTAAGATTTTATTTATTTATTTTGACAGAGAGAGAGACACAGCAAGAGAGGGAACACAAGCAGGGGGAGTGGGAGAGGGAGAAGCAGGCTTCCCACGGAGCAGGGAACCCAATGTGGGGCTTGATCCCAGGACCCTGGGATCATGACCTGAGCCAAAGGCAGACACTTAACGACTGAGCCACCCAGGCGCCCCTTTATTTGTTTTTTAAAGACTTATTTATTTATTTGTCAGAGAGAGAGGGAGAGAGCCAACACAAGCAGGGGGAGGGGAAGGGGCAGAGGCAGAGGGAGAAGCAGGCTTCCTGCCGAGCAGGGAGCCCAATGTGGGACTCGATCCCAGGACCCTGGGATCACGACCTGAGCCGACGGCAGATGCTTAACTGAGCCACCCGGCGTCCCTCTCCCACAGCTTCAATCTGCATCTGTGGAGGAGGAGGTGTTGGTCTGCCTGCTCCTCTCTAGTCCCCTCCCCTCCTCCCACTCCATCCTGAACACCTGTTACCCGAGTCTTCGCCCTCTGCCCGGGCTCCTTTCCACATTGCAGGCAAACATGCTCATCCCAAAGAAACACTCCCTTAACTCCTCCTCGTCACCACCCCCTGCCCTTTCAAGAAGTTTGGCTCTGGGCGCCTGGGTGGCTCAGTCGTTGAGCGTCTGCCTTCGGCTCAGGTCATGATCCCAGGGTCCTGGGATCGAGTCCCACATTGGGCTCCCTGCTCGGCAGGAAGCCTGCTTCTCCCTCTCCCACTCCCCCTGCTTGTGTTCCTGCTCTCGCTATCTCTCTGTCAAATAAATAAATAAAAATCTTTAAAAAAAAAAAAGTTTGGCTCTGGTGGGAAAGAGGAAGAGTGGTTTGTATTTACTGGCTTCTGCCCCTACCGCGCCTCCGAAATGCCTCTCTCCTAGGTCAACAATCACATGCTCATGGCCAGTTATGATGGGGCCTCTGAGTCCCATCTTTTCTTATTTCAATGCATCGTTCGATATTCCTCCCCACCGCCTCTTTCCTGAAATTCTCTCTGCCTTTGGCTCTTCTCGCACTGGCCTGGCTGGGTCGGGTCCTTCTCTCTCGCCACTCCTTCTGGCCAACACCGGCAGGCTCCTTTTCCTCAGCTCACGCCTTTAAATGTTGGTGTGCCCCAGGGTTCCTTCCTAGGGCCTCTGCTCGTGTCACTCTGTGTTCTCTTGGCAGATTCTTTCTACGATCAACCCTACTTATACCTAGAAAGGGATGAGTCCCCCGCCAAAATCGTACTTTTGAGCTCCAAACCCATTGCTCCAACTGCTGACCAGATATTCTCACTCAGACGTCCCATGGAGGACGTACCTCCAAATGCAGCTGTCTGAGCTTCAGTTCATCTTTTTCCCTCGTAAACACACCCCTTTTCCAGTGTTCCCTGCTGCACTTCATGGGTCCACTGTCCACCGGGTTGCCCGAGCCCAAACACCCGAATTATTTTAAGTCCTTAAAAGTTCTAGGAGTTCTGCTTCCCTCGCTGTTCCTTAAGTTCCCCCCAATCCTCCATCCCTACCAGCCCTTAACATTTAGATCCCATCGTTTCTTTTTTATCCTATTTCCTCCATCCCGCACCCACCTCCTCCCAACTCCCCCCTACCCCCACTCCCAGCAACCACTCACGGTTTATTCTCTGTATTAGGAGTCTGGTTTTTTGTTTGTTTGTTTGTTTGTTTGTCTCTCCTTTCTCTTGGTTCGTTTGTTTTGCTTCTTAAATTGCACGTATGAGTGAAATCACGTGGCATTTGTCTTTCTCTGGCTGGCTTCCGTCACTTAGCCTTACACCCCCCCAGCTCCATCCAGATGGTGGCAAATGGCAAGATCTCTTTCTTTTTTCCGGCTTTCTTGTGGGACTGAGCGATCCCATCACTTCTTATTTGGATTGTTGGGAAGTCTGTCCTTCACGCAACAGCCTGAGTGGTCTTTCTCATTTTCAAATTGCGTGAAGTCAGTCCTCCTGCTTGAAACCCTGCAGCAGATAAATGACCAAGCAGGTAATACGACTTCCAGAACCCACTCCCTTCTGCCGGACTCGGGAACCTCGCCTCCCTCTACTCCACAGCTTCCACCGTCTTCTCCGGCCATGTTGGACTATGCGTGGCTCCCCAAGTACATCATCCTCTCTCCACATGTGCCCTTCCACCTGCTGCCCTCTTCGGAGCATGATTCCTCCTCTTCGTCACTAGGCTGACCCCTGTTGCTTTAAAACTGAGGCTGGGGGTGCGGAGGCTCGGCCCGGGCATCTCCCAGTAGACCATGAGTTCCTTGATGGTGGGCCCAGTGGCTGTTGGCTCTAGATGTTGAATGACTAGCAGAGTGTCGCTTAGTCCTGTGTCTAGCACACGATGGAGTCTCACCGAGTGTTTTTTGAAATAGTTCACTAATGTAGTCAGTTTCAGAGCCAGGACCTGGGAGCCCAGTGCAGAGGAAGGACCCAGATTAAGAGACAAGAGATCCAGCTTCTGGTCCCTGGCTCACCCCTATCTAGCCATGTGGTCTTGAGCAAATCACCTCACTTCTCTGGCCCTCTTTCTTCATCTGTATAACCAGGGCAGAGAAACAGATGCTCTGAGTCACTTCCAGTTCCAAGTATCTTGTTAGTTCCTCAGGGCTGCCCCAGCCCCCGCAAGCAGCCCATGACCTTGCTGTCACATGCCAGGCTGGCTGCCTGCAGCTTTGTGGTTCTGTTTTGGCACCTCTCCCAGAATTGGGGAGAGGGGGGATCGGGAGACCCAGGGAGGATCACTGGGGCCAGTTTTCATTGACTAGGAGCCATTCCAAAGGCAGGGGAATTAACCTGACCGTATTCGCAGCTTACAGGAGACCTATGAGGCCAAAAGGAATGAGTTCCTGGGCGAGCTCCAGAAAAAAGAAGAGGAGATGAGACAGATGTTTGTCCAGAGAGTCAAAGAGAAAGAAGCTGAACTTAAAGAGGCAGAGAAAGAGGTAAGTGTGACCCTGACTGCCCAGCAGGCAGGAAGAGGGGGCTGAGCTTGGACACAGCCAGCGGGAGCCTCGAAGCTTCCAGGCAGGAATGGGGCCCAGCATCAGCAGCCCTGCCTTGTCTGGCACCGAGGACGATATGAGACCGGTGTCTTCTTGATCCCTCATCCGCCAAGGCCGGGATGTGTTCTCATTCCATGTTACGTAATTCTCTAGAGCCGCGCCCTCCCATACTGCAGCCACTAGCCACATGTGTCTATTTACACTTACACGGATTAAAAGGAAATAAAATTTAAAACTCAGTTCCTCGGTCGCATCAGCCACATTTCAAAGGCTCAGTCCTCCTGCGATTAGTGGCTACCATATTGGACAGCACAGCTCTAGAATATTTCCGTCACCGCAGAAAGTTCTATTGGGCGGCACTGCTCAAGAATCAAGACCTAAGGGCGCCTGGGTGGCTCAGTCGGTTGGGCGACTGCCTTCGGCTCAGGTCATGGTCCCAGGGTCCTGGGATCAAGCCCCGCATCGGGCTCCCTGCTCGGCGGGAAGCCTGCTTCTCCCTCTCCCACTCCCCCTGCTTGTGTTCCCTCTCTCGCCGTGTCTCTCTGTCAAATAAATAATAAAAATAAAATCTTTAAAAAAAAAAAAAAAAGAATCAAGACCTAAGTCCATGGTGTGGACGTTGATTTTTTTTTTTTCAGTTTCACTTTTCAAAAAGAAAAATGTCACCCACTACTTTTGGAGGAGACGGGAGGGGATCTCAAAGATAAATGAGTGAAAGGCCAACGAACAAGAGCCAGGTTAGAGCAACGGATGGCCACCGCTTCCACCACCCTATCCCAGGGGGCCAGTAGAAGCTGGTCTACACGGCAAGCCTGTCGTCCACCAGCCCTTACTAAGTGGCCGTCCCAAATACCTGTGAGAGCCGGAGACCTGCCCTCCTCCGTGATATGTTTCGAGTGCTATGGAATCCTAAATTCTCTCTAGAACCTTCAAAAGAAAGTGAGGTTATGCTTGTTCTGCTTAGTATTCAGGGTACTTTATTACGTTCTGGTTTGTTAGCACATTCTCCTTTGGGTGTCTGGTTCTATTCAGGGCTAGCTGAGTCTCCCCTTGGTCAAAGCTGAGGTCTCTGCACTCAGTCCGTTTTATAAAATCCTTTCATCTCCTTCCATGTCTGAGGACAAGTATTTTCTTTGACCAGCTTTGCCACTGCTGAAGTTTTCTCTGCAACCCATGGTGATCCTCCTTGACCAGAGGGGGTAAGGAAAGACAGGGGCCCCCTCTCATATTGGGTGATCTCACTGTATAATCCTCCGAAGCATGGATTAACCTTGGGCAAATTCCTTCACTTCTCTGACCTTCTGTTTCCTCATAAGATACCAATAATAACAGAAATGGTTCTTGATACTAATTATTAATTAACATTCATTAATAACAGTCCCTGACCACATTCGAGAGCAGAAACGTGGAGGTGAAGTGGCAGGAAAGGGACCCACCCCGAACACAGTGCCATCCTAGCAGTCCCTGGCAGAAATGTCTCCTCAGGTGCCCGGGTCCTGCCGGTCCCCACCTGCCCTGGGCTCGGCTCCTCAAGGAGGAGCTCCCCAGGGGGCCTCTCCTCAGACTCCCTGTGCTTCCCTGCCAGCTACACGAGAAGTTTGACCGTCTGAAGAAACTACACCAGGATGAGAAGAAGAAGCTGGAGGATAAGAAGAAATCCCTGGACGATGAAGTGAACGCCTTCAAACAGAGAAAGACGGCAGCTGAGCTGCTCCAGTCCCAGGGCTCCCAAGCTGGAGGCTCACAGACTCTGAAAAGGGACAAAGAGAAGAAAAAGTAAGTGGTAGGCGGCTCTGGGTTGTGGCTTCTTTCTCGTTCCCTCAGCACAGGGCCCGGAGACTAGTGGGGTTGGGGGCCAGAGGTGAGCTGTGGGCTGACAGGTGCGTTTTGTGTTTGGGTCCCTAAACTGGTCTCTGTGTCCCCTGAGTTTGGGGAACTGAGAGTGGGGCGGGGGGCTGTGGTCCCGGGAGCCCGGCCCCTCCGCTCGGCTGCTTGGGAAAGCCTTGCAAGCTCCAGGTAGGAAGAGAGGGAGAGGCAGAAGAGAGGCAAACGGAACGTGGGAGGGGAGAAAGAAAGGAGGAAACCATGAGATCTGCGGAGGTGTAAGAAAGAGGTGAAGGAGAAGGACAGCTAGAGGGTAGAGGGGAGAGTGTGCCCTAGCAGAAGCCTCTGGGCACCCTCTTTCTCCCCCGAGAAGTTGGCGCTGATCTGGCTTACAGGCCTGCTTGTTCATCCTTGTGTCTGAGGTGTTCCCCTCCCCATGCCCGTAGCCCCCCCAGCCCCATTCTCACTTAGCTGCAGCCAGCAGTTTAACTGCTTTTACTGAAGGCTGCAGCCCAGTCCGGGTCTCCCACTCTGTGCCATCCCTCCCTCTTGGCCGCTTCGTTGTTCCTGGCCCGGGATGCCGAGAACTTGGTGGGGAGCCCCCAGATGCTAGTAGACTCCACGCGCCCCATCCTCAAGCAGAGTCTGTCCATCTCCCCTGGTAAGGTTATGGGCTCTTGCTTACGTGCGGACCTGCGGACCCATAACCTTGAACCGACTCCAGGCTTTGCCGGCCCGAGCTCCCCGTTCCTCATCCCGGAGTCAGAGGAGAGGAGAGGATGTCCAGTGGGACCTATCCCTGTGCTCCTATTGCTTGTGCAGTGTGACACAGGGAACCCTCACAGGGAGTGCTGGGCCATGTCCTTACCAAAGGGGCCCGAGGATCCGAAAGGTGTCCACGGTCTTTGCCTTCTGTTCTTAGCGACTTGCTCCTGACTCAACTATAGGCTCTCTGCCAGAAGGAGGGAGCCTCTTCCTTTCCTCCGTGCCTGGCTGATCACTTAGGAATAAGACCGTGACTTCGGTACAACAGTAAAATAGTTACTATTTGAAAGCACTCGATTTCGCCATCCAGCTATTCAAAAGTGTAATTTGAACATTTTCACCCATGAGCCCAGAGATTTTTGTTACTGAGTCACCACACTCTGTGTCAGATTCACTGACTAATGAACTTATTTTGGTGTTACCTGATGGATAAAGGTTAACCAGCCAAAAAAAAAGGCCTCTTTGGACACACCCTATATTAACTGATCTGGCATCGTGTGTGAGTCACACCAGCAGGAATGGGTTCCTGCTTTTAAGATCAGAAAGAACTAAATTTGTTTTCTAGCTCTAACCTGCTGCCTCCCTGGCCTGGGGTATTTGTTAACTCCATCCCTGGGGCAGCCTCGCAGCCTGCTTGCAGGAATTAGGAGATTCCTTTGTGGGGTTTTTTTTTAACTTTTTTTTAAAAAGATTTTATTTATTTATTTGACAGAGAGAGACACAGCGAGAGAGGGAACACAAGCAGGGGGAGTGGGAGAGGGAGAAGCAGGCTTCCCGTTGAACAGGGAGCCCGATGCGGGGCTCGATCCCAGGACCCCGGATTCATGACCTGAGCCGAAGGCAGACGCTTAATGACTGAGCCACCCAGGCGCCCCAGGAGATTCCTTTGTTTGGACCCCACTGACACTAAACTATAAATATCCCCTGTTCGGATGTTCAGTGGAAGTTCCTCCCAGACCAGGCTCTCTCTGCTAGTGGTCTCACATGGACTGATCTCCGCCCCCGCCCCCCCGGCCCCGCTCCAGGCAGAAGACCCTACATAGGGAGACATGTCTCTGCAGAGGTTAAGAAAGAGTACCGGTGTTTCAGGGGTCCCTAGCAGCCCTCCCTCCCTCTCCCCCGCCCCCACTCTTCCTCACTTCCTTTGATCGCTTACCCCTCATCGTTTGTGTCAACTCGTAATGTTGGATTTCTCCTCAAGCTCACTCCACCTTCATCAGCTCTTACTGTTTTACAGTTAACTCTGCTGTTTGCTGCATGCTGCATGAGACCCAGGTCCTGGTAAGCTTTATTAACTCGAAATAGAACTGGCGGTGGCTTCTAGAACACATCTCCCCAAATACTGCTCCCCGCCCAACACACCCAGTCACGAAAGAAGCTGCTTCACTGTCCTAGCTCTTGCGACCGACAGTATTAAGAAGCAGTTGTTGCAGTCTCCCGTGTACATGCGGAACGTTTGCCTGTGTGGTGACAAGTGGAGTGTTTTCGGACTTGCCGCCGGAACAGTTGAGTAGCATAGGTGGATCCTGTGATCAGTCGCTGAGGTGTCACTTTGGCCGTTCTTTTTTTCTCAAAAGCGCCCTAATCGTTGCTCTCAAAATTAACTAACGGGTAATGATGAGGGAAATCACTGGGCTCGCTAGTCTGTCCTGTAATGTCACAGTTGGCGTTGACCCCCAGGTTCGGGAATGTTCCAAGTCAACGGAAACTTGCTTCTCTATTTCCCTCTGGTGGCTGTTTTTTATCTGAGGGGTTCAAGTTCTCAAATTTCCTTTGGCTGTGTGCCCCCCCTGAAAAAAAAAACTACAATAAAAGTAGAAGAAAATGAAGAGATTTCAAATATGATAGAGATTTCCTTACATTTCATTCTACAAAGACCAGCTTCATGAACACCTTTGATAAGAAAGGAAGCAGGTAACCTTCGGTAGCATGGATTCCTGAGGGCTGTTATGTCTGCGGAGTGAATAATGCAGTCCTTCGCATCATGTAGTTTATAGGTTGATTATAGCAATGATTACGCCCCTTCTATCTATTTTTCTAGACTCAGTGAGTAGGGAGGGAACATAAGTATGTTTCACATAATTAAGCTTATTGCTATTTTTTCAACTTTACCATAGAAACTTCCAAACAGGAACAAGAGAGAAGAGAGTATAATGCAGCCCCATGTGCCCAACAACCCAGCCCCCAGACAACTCTCAACATATGGCCAGTGCCATCTCATCTGTTATCCCAAACCTGCTGGATTATTGTAAAGCAAAAGCCGTATCATTTCATCTGTCAGTACTGTAGCAGGTATCTCTGAGAGATAATGACTCTTAAAAAAACCCGTAACCACACCACCACCATGACCACACCTACAAAATGACCAATTCGTTAACACCACACCTCTCGTCAGTGTTCCGAATACCCCGGGTGTCTCATAAATGCCTTTGACACTTGCTTCGTTTGGATCAGGGAACATACAGTATTGAGAAGGCTTCTCCCCACTCCCCACTCCCCACTCCCCACTGTAGTTTATGGTTTAAATGGAGAGCCTGCTGCTAGTCGCCAAACTTCGGGCAGCCAGCAAAACAGCCTCCTTTCCAGCAAATCTCCAAGAGGAAGTCCACAGAGGCTTCTGAAACGTAAGGCCCCTGAAATTGGGCCAAAGGAAACAACCCTAAAAGAACAATGCCATGATTGATTGTCTCGCTTAAAGGCAAGTCTTGGAGCTCTGGTTAGTTGACAGGAATTAAACTGCAGATCTCTCTTTGGGAAGACCTTGTACTCCTAGAGTGTCTGTCCACCACCGTGGCTCTCGTGCCTCTAGCAGAGCGTCCCACGCCTTTAGGGGCTCCGCTCACGTGTTCCCCCGTTTTCAGTGAGGACCGCAGGAAAGATGAATCCTGGTGGGTTCGATTTCAGTCGACTCCGGTTAGTGCACATGGCCTGACACGATCTGGTTCAGGTTTCCCTGAGTAAATCATTGTTAGTAGCCATTACGAAAATGATTTCTGGCAAAACTATAATTAAAGCCATGCTGTACAAGTGAGAGGCAATTGGCAACCAGCGGGAAGCCCACCCCAAGCCCGAGTAGCTTGGCTTTTCTTGGCAGGCTTCTCCCCAGCCGACCGCAGGAGCGGTTCCACGCCAAATAAGGGAGGGAGGCCTTGGCTCCAGGGGATCTGAAAGCCACAGAGGCAGCCTGTCCCCTCCCCAAAGTTACTGGCCCCTCGGCCCATGGGGGGCATGTGTGTGTGTGCGTGCAGTATGCGGACAGGATACACGTATCAAAATATGTCCGCCTTCCCACGCAGCCCAGAACATAGGCCGTCGCCCTGTTGTTTAGGTCTATCGTCCCGGGGCAAGTAGACAAAGACTAGAATAAGGGGTGAGCGTTCGTGTGGCATTTTAATACTTTTCAGTATTTTTAATGCCTTTCTCCGGACGACATACTCTTTTCACCTTACAACAATCCTGTGAGGTAGAGAAGAAAGGAATAATCTTCAGTTTGCCAGATGAGCGAATGGAGGAGTGGGGGATTTCAGAGACTTACCAAGGCTCACACAGTGAGTTAGTGGCAGAGTGGGAAGAGGAGTGCAGAACTCCTAATTCCTGACGTAAATGGCTATGAGAGAGAGAGAGAGAGAGAGAGAGAGAGAGTAGAGGTGCGTGTGTGAAGAGCTGTGTGGAGGTATTCGCTCTGAGGAAGGGACTGTACAAACATAACGCCCGTATGCATGTGCTTGTAACAGCCCTCCCAGATGTCTAATACTAGCCTTGATTTAATGAGATAAATGTATACCCATAATAGATTGCCGTAGTTCAGGTTTTCAGGTAACCGTGGTCTGGACCCTATTGCAGACCCCTCAACCATCTCCAGATACTTCTGAAACAATCTTGCCCCAGGGTACCAGTTAGCTGACTGGGGCTGCTCAAGTCTACCTGAGGAGAAACCTCCACCTCCTCTGCTTTCCCCATGGGACAAGGCAATCCATGGCCGAGAGCCTGGCGCTCTACCCATTGGCCTGAGGCCCCCTGGAGATTTGCTGACCGGACTCCCGTACGGTGTCTGGGTGGCAGGGGGGGCGTTAGGACCTAGTAATTAGAAAGAGAGAAAGTATTCTTGTGGCTGTTGGTAATTATTTTGCTTAGCTAATGCCACTCTCCTGCCACTCAGAGGGGTGTGGGGGCGCGTGAGAGAGAGAGCATGTTCCCAGAAGCCAATGCAGTAAGACCTTATTCTAACATAGCTATATTCTCATTTATCCAGTAGTCATCACGACAATTTTCTTCTAACCTTTGTTGTTGTTGTTGTTGTTATACATTAATCCATCCATTCATTAACCCAACTTCTCTTTTCATTTTCAGTTTGGGCTTCCTGTAGACACCCTTTTCCTGCGCAACAGAGCTGGGCCTCCCTTTCTCTAATTCCCCCTTAACACGCCTGAGGGGACACACAACCCATGCCCTCCCCTCTCTTCCTGCCAAAGTTTATAGAAGCCTGGGAGTCTGAGGATGGCGTCTGGCCTCTGGTCAAGAAGCCAGCAGTCACGTGGCTCGGAAATGGCGATGCCTCCTGCATCCCAGTCGTTCCCCCCACCCCCACCCCCGCCAGCCACTCTCATCTGCTATTCTCCACCACCAGCTTCCCTGTTCGAATTCTGATGGCTGCTTGTTTCCCTGAAGTATTTGCCTCCACCATGCCTGGGTAAATGCCAGTTAGTCCCAGTTAGTCCCAGTTAGTCCCCATGCACTGGGCTTCCCTGACCCCCCCCCCAAGCCCCAACAGCAGCCAGAAATCAAGTTGTGTTAAAAATCCAGAATGAGTTTATTGACACCAAGCCCTTTCCAGAAAACATGACTGCTGAAGAAAATAGCATAAATTTCTGCTCTCTATAATTCTGGGTACCCCACAAATGCAGAAGGGAGAATAAACCTGAATGTTATTACCAGCCTAGTGTCTTCAATGATAGACTTCTGGAATTCTTCTGAGGTGTCTCAGTATCTCTGTAATCTCCCTTAGGGCTCCACACCATCCCACTTAGGCAGGCCCAGTCGCAGGTTCATGCTGGAAACTGCCAGACTGCGTGGTCAAAGAAACAATGTTTTCAGCTTTGCTCTGATGAGTCCTCCAGTCCGTTTATTTGGTGCAGGGGATGAGTTTTAATCTGTATTTCGCATGTGTCCCCCCATAAGAAGAGGTGAGACCATCAGCTGGGGAGGAGAGAAGAGGTGTTGTGTCTTGGAAGGCCCCTGACTTTATCTCCCGTCTAACGATGTGATATTTAAAACATATTCCAGCCCCAATTTTTATAACGGGCCCATCTGATAATGGCTTTGGGAACCCCTTTGAAGTAGAGAGCCCTCCACTGTCAGGGCCACCAGGTACAGCGGCCTTTGGTGTTCGGCCAGCAAGAGAGAGAGAGAGAGAGAGAGAGAGAGAGCTGAAGGTCACGTGGCAATGATCTGTGGCTAACGCGCCGTTTCTCTGCCCTTCCTTTGCAGTAATCCATGGCTGTGTACTGAATAGTATCCCCCGCTACAGCTGGACTGGACTCCATTTAGCCTTTTAAGCCAAGGTTCCTATTTTAACTGACAGCTTTCCTTTGTTGGGGGGGCGGGGGCGCCAGGCAGCAGCCCCCACCCCCACCCCTGCCATGTACTTCCACTTTGAGTCCCATCTCTTCTTCTGAGTTCTGCCTCCAGAGTCCCCTGGCACTGATCATGACCTTCTTCTTCTTTACTTTTTTTTTTTTTTTGAGTTTTTTTTTTTCCTTGATCACCTATTTTTTCCCCCAAAACACACAGTTAAACCAGGCTATGCCAAATTTTCAGGGCTTTTTGAGGTGTTGAGAATGGGGAGGGGCTTTCCTCTCTTCCCTACGAGATCATAAATAATAGGAAGCGAAAAGTAGAAGAAACAAGGAGCGAACCTACGCACACACTTTCTGTGTTCTTGTCGGCAGAGCGAGAGCGCAGTTTTGATGTGTGCTGTTGGGTGAGTCACTGGTTAGTGACCAGAGGCAGGTATGGAGTATACACTAGTTTCTTGAGAAAAATCCAAGTCTCATAGGGGAGCGTTTTAGGAGACCCCATGCTTGGAGGTTCAAAACAAAACAAACAAAAACTGGACACTCCGCCAGGAGCTCAGAGAGATCCTAAATTAGGGCTGTCGAGTCTCCTTGGGAAAGGCATCTCAGCTGCAGCTGTGATGTCTCGGTGTCCAGTTTTATGGCTCTTTCCCAAGAATCTCAGACTGAAACAACCAGCCGGTCACCATTTCCCCGGGGGTTATCATTTGCCTCACAAATGGGGGGGCTCTCATCTGCATTTGTTTATACATTAACTACTTGAGGCCTGCGGAGCTCTGAACACTTCAAAAGTAGTAGACCTCCAGCCAGCCCTGGGGAGAACTTCCAGGACTAGGCGGGAATGTCGGGGCCAGGGAGAAATTTTGGTCTGTCTAACAGATAGGACCCAAAGGAAATGGAGACCTGGAGAAGTCGAGGGACTGGCCCCGATGTCCCAGGCGAAATTCAGTGTCTCCTGACCCCGGCTCCCTGTCACAAATGGATTCAACCTGCTCCTCTATGTTGCTGGAGACCAAGGTCTTTTGATGTCCAGAGAAAACGAACAGTTAGCATTATTACAGGGCCTTTGAGAGTTCCCCCTGCCCCCATAGAAAACTACCTGAGGATGGAGTGGGTAGGGCCGGGCAAAGCAGAGGACTCCAGGCCAGCTCCTGAGCTGAGCGTTTCTGCTGACAGTGCCCGTCGGCTGGTCAGCTTTCCTGGAAGTCTGGACTGGGGCCCAGGCACACGAGTGTTGAACAGGTGCCTTACAAGATCCTTGTAATCAAGGAAGTTTGGTCAACAAAAAAAAAATCTAACCTGCGAGGGAACAGAAGGCCTTCAGAAAGTTAGCTAAAAGGATTAAAATAGTTCTTTTACTGGATAGCTTTTCTCACGGTAGACAGAAAGATTTTTTTTTCCCCTTCAGTGAAGAGGCTTTGTAATTAATACAATTGTTACTATTTTTTTTAAATACCCTAAGTACTTTGTTAGCTTCTGGTGAAACAAATCCAGTCATTAGAAATGGTCTGCGCTTTTATTTTCCCAGACTGGAATGGAATGGCTTTCTTGAAAAATCCCCACATGTGATCCCGACACACACACACACACACACACACACACACACCCCATTTCTCTTAAGCCAAGAAGTTTGCTTTTCCTCGCTGCGGTGCAGATCACTTTGGGTTTGGGTTTGGGTTTGGGTTTGAATCATTTGGCATTCACATGTGGTTGGTTTTTTTGTTTTTGTTTTTGTTTTTTTATTAAAACAAGAAGCTTCAAACCGGTGTGTGGTGTTCTTCAAATCTTCTCAGCAGATTTCCCGGTGGTTGCGGTCTCTCGGTGACCCCCTTTCTAACCTGTCTTCTCCAAGTATAATCTGTGCTGCCTCCCGCTGCCCACTCCCCTTGCCTTGTCTTACTTTGAATGTCCTTTTTCTTTGGCTAATTCCATGTTTTCTCTTTCTCTCTCCCTCTCCAGCTTTTTTTAATCTTGTCTTCAGCAGCTGCACTAAGTCTAAAGGAGAAGACTGCCATTATATTGTCTCAAACCAGAAACCAACCAATCCCCTTCTCCCCTCAAACTGTGCACATAACACACCCCACACGCTCCACACGTGTTCACGTGTCCCTGTGTCCAGGCAAGAAGCTCTCTCCTGGCTTACATGGTATTCTAAGTGGAAATGTCCTGTCCTAACCTAACCAAGGCAGGAAAAGAACCTGGAGAATGGACCAAATGTAACCACAGAGAGACAACTGCAGGATGACTCACCCAAGTGTAAGTGACTGGGGCAGGAGACCTCAGCCGTGGGTGTGGAAGTGCTGTTCGCAAGTGTCCCGGTTTTCCTTTTTAAACACCAATTCTCCGGTCCAATGGGTTGACTGTCGACGGCCACTATTAAACATTTCTGAATATGGAAGAGAAAGTCAAGGGACAGTTCTCTCCTCAGCATTCACAGGCCTTCTGCAGAACCCTCCTCCCCTCCTCCCCAGCAAGGGGGAAAATGGATCCACTCACACTCAGGTGGAGAAGGGAGAGACAGGAGGGGGTTTAAGCTTAGGAAGAGCAAAATTACTCCATTCAACCCTCCAGGGCCAGTTGGGGTTTTGAGAGAGGTTTTTGCTCGACCTGGGATCTGCGAGGAGAGCTTTCGTGTTGATAAATCTGCCTTGAATTCATTGGCTTAACTCACATCAAAATACCATGTGACCGTGCTCACTCCTGTATATCCCTACATTGCCATTCCACTGTCTGGCGTCTCCAGAGAGAGCCTCTTTGCATGTTTTCCAGAATCTCTGTGTGTTTTTCCTTTCTTCTCCTTTGTTCTTTTTGCTCAAAAGTGTGACCAGTCACCACCCCTCTGGGGTTTTCATTCGCCAGGAGAAACATCCCAAAACCAGCACTGTTTAGCTCGATACCTTTCTAATGTCCGTGTCAATTTTCAATAAAATTCAAAGAAATGCTCAATGGCCGTGTGATCTGATCTTAAATCGTTAGATGATGCGTTCCACCACGGTTTGCCCTAGGAGGGGGTAGCTGCCTTCCAAGTGGGTGATCGCTAGCGGCTCCGGGGAGGCAAGCCCATATACGATCTTCATGGGTGGGCTGCTGTGCCCCCCTCTCCCCATTTGGGCCAGCAATTCTTAAGGGTCGGGGTGGGGGTGGGCAGGAAGTCCTCTACTTTTCCTTCATTAGCATGGATTTAACTGATGCATTGAGCTGATTATCATCTAGGATAAAAGGTGGAGGAAGTGGAGTGCCAGATTCTACAGAACAAGATTCTGGTGAGTTTTAATTCCTGAAGGAAAAGAACTCTGCACCGCACGCCTTCTGGAAATTCATGAATATGACCGTGCTTTATGACTCGAAAAGCATTCTATAGATAGCACGTAGGACTTTATGTCCTGGGTCTACCAGGGAGGGAAGCCTCCTCCTGTTGCCCCCAGCATTAAAGTGGGCAAGAGGGGAGAAGGGTCAACTTTCTACAATTCCGGTTGCGGTCGAGGTAGGGTTTTCTTTCCCCGGTTTCATTTCCCGATTGGCCAGAGGCTGGAGACCCGGAGACCGGAGAAGCGTCCCCATCCTCTCGGTACCGGAGGAAACGACACTGTCCTGCGTTTGCGCAGCTCACACACTAGAGGGCAGCAGAGAGAGAGAGAGAGACACGCTCGCTTGTGACGTCACTGAGCAGCCGCGGTGGAAAAATACAGGCGCTGGAGCCCGACACACTTGCCGTCCGCGTGTGCTGTGGGGCAAGTTGGGTTAAAAAC